TTTTAAACGCAGATCAAAGAATCCCCAAGCATGATTACAGCCTAGCAGCAGAAATGATTAGGAGAGAAGAGGGATTAACATCACGCACAGTGACATTAACATCACGCACAGGGCCACCACAGTTGGTTTGAGGGTGGATCAGAAGGGCGTGGACAGGATAGAACCAGCAAAGGCTGAAGCCTGGCCCAAGCTCCTCTCACCAGGCCTGAGGCTAAGGCTGCAATTCAGACAAACGCAGCCCTGTCCTCTGCCCTCCCTTCCCTGACACCTCCTCCCCCCAGAACCCCACCTACTCAAGGCAAATATTAAAAAGTGCTAAAATTTTGAAAAAGAAGACATGTTTTCTAGATCAATAGCCCAGGGCCCAAAGCATAGTAAAATGGGAACTTCTAATTTAAATTCTTATCAAAAATTTGTTTCTAAATGATTTACTTGAACAGCAACAGCCCCACCACTACCATGGAACTCAAAGGGAAGAGAGTCCACTATGCATACATTTGCTTTATTCCTTTTTTTTTTTTTTTGGTTACTGTTGAATACATCAATTCCTAAAGTGAGAGGAATTCGGTGTAAGTATTGTCAGTATTTTAACAGAATAAAGAGTAGTATTAGGCTGAAAATATTCTGTATATAAAAGAACATGCACCAAACACAAAAGCACCAAGTGTTAATTATATGGTATGGGAAATTATGAGAAAAAAAGATTTTGAGTGTCAACTTTTCCCTTCTCATGCTCTGCATGAGTATCGGCATCTTGCAAATTGTGAATCCATTTTCAAAGATACATCCACTTCCCAAGTTCCTAATGAGAAAGGATATACATGTCAACAGCTCTCCAAATCAAGCAATCTGACAAAAAGAAGCAGTGCAGTCCTAGAATCCAGGAAGGAGAATGCTACACTGCTTGACATGTGAGAAGGATGAGGGTCAAATGACACCAGTCGACATAACACTCTACAAAGAAAAAGAAAGGATATTTAAAATACTAGTGCATCTTCTTCTATCTTGTTATGAAAGAAATGTGTTTCACCCTTCACTGTAGTATTTATTGCTCTAAATAAACTTATTAAAATCCAAACTATGGCTAAAGAAAACTTAAAACACTTAAAAATATGCTTGAAATAGTCAAACTAGAACTTTTCTGTACCAGTATATCAGCTCCAGATAAAAATGCAAATCTATATCATAATCTCATTATCTCCCTAAATAAGGCAAGCACTGAAAACATGTTTGGCCACTCTGGTTTTAAACAGTCAATGAAAAGCACTCAGCCACAGAAGTAGAGAGTCTGGAACTTAGGAATCCGTCACCACTCCAGTCTGCTGGCCCTCTGCCTTCAGCAGACCAGCAGCAGCAGCGCCGTCAAATACTGTCAGGACACTAGGCCAACCACAGATCCCTTGATGGTGTATTATCATTACATGGCTGATCCTCGAACAATCCATGTGGATTCTGTCCAAGAAATACATATCACAGTTTTGCACAATCCACAGGCAGTTGAATCTGTGGACGTGGAACTGCAGATACGGAGGATTTTTGACTGCATGGAGGGTCGGCACTCCTAACTTCTGTGCTGTTCAAGGGTCAGGTGCAGTTGTAAATAATCCTGAAAAGTCTCCCTAAATTGTAAAATTCAATGAGCATTACTCAGCAAAATACATGAAGTTGACTGCTAACAAAAACAGAGGCAAACTTCACTGTCAGTTATAATGTTGGTATAGCTACCCACTTTGTACAGGAATCAAAAATTCTCATGTTCACAAGAGGGCTTAAAAAAGAGGGTGAGGTAGCTGACTGATCTTTACACATATAAAAACTGATGTTCATTGTAAAATTGAAAACAGTGTGTGCATAAAAGTGGTAACTATAGAAGTAGTAGTAATCAGTACGAGGAAGCTATCATAGCAATCAAAAGCCGCACTGAATAACCTATCATTTTAACCCCATGAATCACCTGTATGCTCCTTGATATAAAAGACCCATTTTGTGAGCTGCATATACTATCCAATTTAAGATCACATCTGTGGCAAAATATAGTAAGAAAGGAAAGGAAAGGAAAGCGGAAGAAAAACAACCCATTACAGGATGTAGACAACTATCAGTACCAAGGTTTTAGCACACCACATACCACTAACACAACACACCAGGTTCCTTCAACACCACGCGACTTGCTACTTTGGCTTTCGATTTTAACCTACGCAAGTAACTGCAGTCAAGCGTAACAAAACACTATTTCTATATCTTAAGTTCTCTTAGAAGGAAATGGGTATATTTACCAGGCTCAGTTACCAAATAAAGCAATTCAATCCAACTCAAGTATCCTACGGTTTCAGGTGAACTGAAGACAGATTTGCTATTTCTCCCTTTATCACACCTCCATGGATGGGGGCCCAGAGACACCAACTACAAGGCCAAAGGGGAACTAAAAATCCTTATCATGTGCCTGGGGTGTGTGATATCCCTAGAGCTATCCAGAGAGCTCCCCAAAGAGACTGCACACTTACAGACCTATCAATCACCTCTATTACCAATCATCTCTGAAGTCATACCGGGCTGTTAATATACTAACAACTACTTTCCTAAAAGTATTTCTCACAGGCTCATGAATGTATTTTAATTGGCACTCACTGATGGAATTAGCACAAATGCAAACACTATCATTCTATTCACTACACTTGCCAAAATAAACTCACTGAGACTAGAGCTCTGCCCACCTTGTCTGACTGCATCCCCAGTGCCTGCACCTAGGACATACTTAATAGAAATGCCGTAAAATGGATGAACTTATCTAATAAGTAACAGAATTTTGTTAAATTATGTACTGTTTACAAGCAGAACATTTGCTAAAACCTGGGGACCTTCTAACAGTGCTATTTGTTGTGACAGGATTTAACAAGATGATTGGGTTTTTGTAATAAAGCAACAAAAGTTGCAGAAAGAGACACAAGTTGCAGACTGAGCATACAGACAAAACAAAAATTCATTTTTTTTCCTATTAAGACAAATGACTTTCCTCTTTATCCCAAAACCACACTCAATGACAATTACACAATTTTAAGAGAAGAAAGCTTGGAGCCTAAGTAATGAAACAGATGGGCTCCAGTTTCAGAGCAACATAAACTGCCATCAATTCATTCAAAAAATTTTGCATAATTACATCCTTAAGATGGCATTTTAGGAATAATCTTTTTATTCTATTTTTTTTTTTTTTTTTTTACTATGCTAAGCAGTTGGTTAGGCCTTAGAGAAGTCACAACTGACAAATATAATCTTCCACTTTTTTGACTTTCATTTACCAGGGGAAAATCAATGAGCAAAGAGTTAACTCTGTCAATGCAAACAGTTCCTCTCTTCCCAGTTTTCAAGTAACAGTGTTCTCTACTAACTTAAGCCACCAATTTTCCAGTCCTCTCATTCTATTTTTAGATTGTGATAGGTTATCACCTTTGATTTACATTGTCAACGTGTATATGGCTACTGCGGCCAAGTCTTCTCTTCCCAAGACTTAGGAGGCATACACTTCCAAAGTGCTCCTCTGCCAAGTCATTAACAGCGTTTGATAATCCCCCTGTCGTCTGTCTCCCTCACTTGAGCAGAGCTGTTTCTGTCTCCGTTGGATACTACAGAATGGGTTCCCAGTGTTATCACAATGAATGAAGGAAGGATTTGGTAAGGCAATGCATTATCACGGGCTTTCTTTGCTAACTAAGAAGATAATATTTGAGAACACATCATAAGTTTCTCTTCAGCTTTAAGAAAACGCTGAGGCTCTTTACCACTCTGAACTAAAAGTCTGCAACTGATAAATTTAAGAACAGCCAAGTGCATCTGATACATGCTATTAGAGAAGGTGCTAAGCAATACATCTAAAATAAACTTATTCAAAGGCCACACAAAGAATTACAATAGATTCCTTAGGACTGACGAGTTTCCAGGATTCTATTACCATCAGTACCACTGCTAAATAACTTCACTGTCTGGATACGTTTTCTCCATGTTTTGAGAAGTCATAGGTGAACACATTGAAAGGATGAGTGACTACTCTCCAGGGTGTTACAATCTCTAAAAGGACAGGGAGGTGGAGGGGGGTGGAATAAGTGAAATTCTTGAATAAGAATACATGAAAAGCAATTTTCCTGTTAGTTGTGAAAGACTGGAAAATTTTTCACTGCAACCTTTCCTCCTTTGCTGGAAGTAGGAAAATTTCTAACACCTCTCTGCCCTTTGAGTCACAGCCGTGGGGACCTGCGCATCCCCCATGAAAGCAGGAAGTCGGTTTGTCTAGCCTGGGCCCGTCGGGTCCCAAACTCGAAGGCAGAACTTCTGAAAGCCCACCCCGGACTGCCCCTCACCCGATACCACTCCGAGCTCCAGCGAAAACGCGATCTTGCTGGGAAGAGTAGAGCGCAGGGCTCGGAACACCTTCCCCTCCACGCTTGGCTGGTGGCAAGAGGGCACCCGGGTTCTCGCCAGGAGAGGAGGCGGCGCAACGGAGGCGGCGAGAGGAACCGTGGCCGCCAAAGGCGGGCGGCTCGTCCACGCGGCCGGAGAAGTCCCGAAACAAAGCGCACGGCTTGCGGGCGGTGGGCAGACGGGGAGCTTCACCATCTCCTCACCGCGGCCTGCGGCGTCGCCAGGTGGGACCGCACGCCTCTCGGGGGGGAGGGTGGGTTTCTGAGGGTCTGACCGGCGCCGAGATCCTCGGAAGCGAGCCCCGGGAGGAAAGAAGGCCGGGAAGGAGAGGCGAACGCCGCGGGGCGGAGGCGGCGCCGGCCGGGCTGCTGGGCCCCCGGGACGCGCCGCCGGCCCCGCTCCGGCCTCCCCAGCGCCGCCCGCCCGCCCCCCGCCCCAGGCAGCCACACAAAGAGGAGGCAGGCGCGCCGGCCGCGGCGGCTGCGGGGCCGGACACGGGACAGCGGCCGCTCCGCCGCGCCCCCACCTTTGTCCGCCGCGTCCCGCGCCCCCTCCGAGGAGCCCGCCGCCAGCATCCTGCCAGTTACCCGGGTGAGGAGCGGTCTCATCTGCTCGCCGGTCCCGTCCGCCTCCATGGTCTGCCGTCCAGTCCGCTGCACGGCCGCTCCGCTGTTGCCCCGTGCGCTCCGCCCGCCGCCGAGAGTGCGGCGCGCGAGGGGAAACGAACTTGCGCTCGTCCGCGAGGCGCGCGCGTGGGGAGAGCCGTGCGCGCGAGACGGGAGCGCGTGCGCGGCTGCAGGCGGGCTGCCTCTCGCGGGGCCCGAGGCCGCAGCGGGTAACGTGGAGCGAGAACTGAGCGAGCCGCAGGCCCGGCGCGGAGGCGGCGCCGCGGATGCGAGGGGCGGGGCCCGGCCGTGACGCGCCGCGCAGGCCCCGCCCGCGGCCTCCGGGCCCTGCGGGCCTCCGGGACGCGCGCCGGCCCCGCGGCCGGGCGCCGGAGGTGGGCGGGAGGAGGAGGGCGGCGCGCGTCCCCGCCCATCGGAGGCCCTCGGGGCTTCAAGCTCGTCTCCGCGCTGTGCCACCCCCTCGAGAGGCCTGCCCCTCTTTGTCAAATCTTTAGTGACCGAAGCTAAGCGCGTAGCTCGTCTTCCCTCATCCGAGGTGGGGTGGGAGTCACCGCGGAGCCCACCTTCTAATCACGTTCCTCGAGGTGGGAGGGAAGACGGTCGCCCCCTTTCCAAGGACGCTCACCGGAACCCCAAAGGAGCTAGGTGGTCAGGACTGCTCTCAGTTCTACTGCCCGAAACCCCAGCTGGGGCGGGGCGGGGCGGGGGCGCGGAGGCGACAAGGGTAAAAGAGGGCCCAGCGCTGGCCAGGCGTCCTCGTGTGCTGGGGCCCCTGGCCGGGCACCGCGGCGGCCCCACGCTCGAGTCCATCCTCTGGGGCGCTCCCACTCACATGCACAGCTCTGACTGCAGATAGTGAGGTGCTTACCACGCAGGGTCATTTAAGGATTGGGTGAATGTCCATCCATAAACGTGCCCGACAGGTATCATGCTTATCATAGGCATTATTATTAACTGGGTTGTCTTAAGTGTTCAGAAAAGGGAACAGAAAGAGCTGCATCAGTGCTATGGAAGGAAACTGTATGTGACAGCAGGTCTGGAGCACTTATACTATCCATCTCAAAATGGATATTAGTAAAGCTCTTTGTCAGAAATAGTTAAGTATGCTCGACGACTCCTTCCTGGTCTGCATCGTAGTCCCCTTTTCCCAAGTTTTCTAGAGTGTTATTTCTAGGTGGGCATCTTACTTGTATATAGACCAAATGTGCTACCCGTTACGGAAGCCCACGTGGGCCTTCCCTGGTGGTACAGTGGTTAAGATTTCGCCCTCCATTGCCAGGGCTGCGGGTGTGATCTCTGACGGGGGAGCTAAGATCTCACTTGCCTCAGGGCGGAAAAACCAAAACATTAAAAAAGAGAGCGAGAGAAGCAATATTGTAACAAATTTAACAAAGACTTAAAAAATAAAGAAGTCAACAATTAGACTCTCTAAATTACGGCAGACTTGCTGCATGTCTGATCCACGCAATAACCACAGCATATGTTCTGTTATCACCATTTTACAGATGAGGAGGCCAAGGCTCAGCAGGATCACTTCAGTTCGGTTCAGTTCAGTCCAGTTGCTCAGTCATGTCCAACTCTTTGTGACCCTATGGACTGCAGCACGCCAGACTTCCCTGTCCATCACCAACTCTCAGAACATACACAAACTCATGTCCATTGAGTCGGTGATGGCATCCAACAATCTCATCCTCTGTCGTCCCCTTCTCCTCCGCCTTCAGTCTCTCCCAGCATCAGGGTCATTTCCAGCGAGTCAGTTCTTCGCATCAGGTGGCCAAAGTATTGGACTTTCAGCTTCAGCATCAGTCCTCCCAATGAATATTCAAGACTAATTTCCTCTAGAGTGGACTGGTTGGATCTCCTTGCTATCAAGGGACTCTCCAGAGTCTTCTCCAACACCACAGTTCAAAAGCATAAATTCTTCAGTGCTCAGCAAGATAACTAGTTTTAAATCCTGATTACTGGAACTTTTCTTTCTATTGCACCATTTCTGAAAGAGATGGAAATACTAGACCATCCGACCTGCCTCCTGAGAAACCTGTATGCAGGTCAGGAAGCAACAGTTAGAACTGGACACGGAACAACAGACTGGTTCCAAATAGGAAAAGGAGTATGTCAAGGCTGTATACTGTCACCTTGCTTATTTAACTTATATGCAGAGTACATCATGAGAAACGCTGGGCTGGAGGAAGCACAAGCTGAAATCAAGATTGCCGGAAGAAATAACAATAACCTCAGATATGCAGATGACACCACTTAAGAGCCATAAGTGGCAGAAAGTGAAGAACTAAAGATCCTCTTGATGAAAGTGAAAGAGGAGAGTGAAAAAGTTGGCTTAAAGCTCAACATTCAGAAAGCTAAGATCATGGCATCTGGTCCCATCACTTCGGCAAACAGATGGGGAAACAGTGGAAACAGTGGCTGACTTTATTTTTCTGGGCTCCAAAATCACTGCAGATGGTGATTGCAGCCAGGAGATTAAAAGTTGCTTACTCCTTGGAAGGAAAGTTATGACCAGCCTATACAGCATTTTAAAAACCAGAGAAATTACTTTGCCAACAAAGGTCCATCTAGTCAAGGCTATGGTTTTTCCAATGATCATGTATGGATGTGAGCTGGACTATAGAGAGAGCTGAGTGCCGAAGAATTGATGCTTTTGAACTGTGGTGTTGGAGAAGACTCTTGAGAGTCCCTTGGACTGCAAGGAGATCCAACCAGTCCATCCTAAAGGAAATCAGTCCTGAGTATTCATTGGAAGGCCTGATGCTGAAGCTGAAACTCCAATACTTTGGCCACCTGATGCGAAGTGCTGACTCATTTGAAAAGACCCTGATGCTGGGAAAGATTGAGGGTGGGAAGAGAAGAGGACGACAGAGGATGAAGTGGTTGGATGGCATCACTGACTCAATGGACATGGGTATGGGTGGACTCCGGGAGTTGATGATGGACAGGGAGGCCTGGCGAGCTGCGGTTCATGGGGTCACAAAGAGTCAGACATGACCAAGTAACTGAACTGAACTGAATGCCTCAGGAAAGAAAGTTGAACACTGATAAAAAGAATGAAAAGATGAAACATGAATGAAAAGGAAAAAATATGAAGAAAGAAAGAAACTGGAATTTAAAAAGAAAAAAAAAAGGAGCCTCCTAAAGTTGTGTAAGGCATCAATCACTTTTACCCATACTATAACAAAGTGAGTGTGATTTATATTGGAGAATTAAATCTGGGCTCATCCATCTGATGTGAAGAGCCAACTCATTAGAAAAGACCCTGATGCTTGGAAAGATTGAAAGCAGGAGAAGAAGGGGATGACAGGACAAGATGGTTGGATGGCATCACCGACTCAATAGTGGTGAGTTTAAGCAAGCTCCTGGAGACAGTGAATGACAGGGAAGCCTGGCATGCTGCAGTCCATGGGGTCACAAAGAGTTGGACATGACTTAGCAACTGAACAACAATTATTGAAATGAAGCTTCCCTACCAAAAAGCTATGATTAGTGTGTACAGAACACCTTCTATCACCCTTCTCTGCTTTATTTTTCTATACGGCAGTTATTTTTATAACTTTTTATTTATTTATGCTTCATTATGGTTATTGTCTGTGCACTCACACACACATGCTGATGTAACAAAATTATAGGCAAGAAAAGAAAAGTTTAACATACATTATTTTCTACCGTCTGAGTCACCACCCTGTCTGTTTTAGTGTGAATTGTACATTTCCATTACATGTTAACTAGATCCTCTTAGAAGACACGGGAATGCCTACTAGCCAAAAAAAAGGCAATTTCCTCCTGGCACCAGCAAGGTAATTCCTTAGGAGATAATACTCCTTTCTCAATCCTGCAAGGGGCCACAGGGACCCACTACTCACCTTGTTGCACTATGTAAACTGTCAGTATTTTACTTCAAAGTATACTATTTGTCTTAAAAAGTTGTATAGCTGTACTTTGACCTCTAATGGTCAAACCAGTCTTCAGAGCTTTCTGAAAGACTATCTCCTGTGCTATAACCCTCCAGGTTGGCTCAAATAAAATTATCCATTTCTTCCTTAGATTGACTATCAATTAATTTTTAAATTATTGATTAATTTTAACAGTGTTGTTGTTGTTGAGTCACTAAGTCGTGTCCAACTCCTTGTGACGCCATGGACTACAGCTCACCAGGTTCCTCTGTCCTCCACTTGCTCATATTCATGTCTGCTAGGTCAGTGATGCCATCTAACCATCTCATCCTTTGCCACCCTCTTCTGCTTTTGCCTTCAGTCTTTCCCAACATCAGGGTCTTTTCCAGTGAGTCAGCACTTCGCATCAGGTGGCCAAAGGATTGGAGCTTCAGCTTCAGCATCAGTTCTCCCAATGACTATTCAGGGTTGATTTCCTTTAGGATTGACTGGTTTGGTCTCCTTGCAGTCCAAGGGACTCTCAAGAGTCTTCTCCAATACCACAGTCCAAAAACATCAGTTCTTTGGTGCTCAGGCTTCTTTATGGTCCAGCTGTCACATCCACACATGACCACTGGAACTATATGGTCCTTTGTTGGCAAAGTGATGTCTTTACCTTTTAATATGCTGGCTAGGTTTTTCATAGCTTTTCTTCCAAGGAGCAAGCATGTTTTAATTTCATGGTTGCAGTCACTGTCACCAGTGATTTTGGAGCCCAAGAAAATCAATCTGTTACTGCTTCCACTTTTTCCCCTTCTAGTTGCCATGAAGTGGTGGGACCAGATGCCATGATCTTGGTTTTCTGAATGTTGAGTTTTAAGCCAGTTTTTTCTCTCTCCTCTTTCACCCTCATCAAGAGACTCTAGTTCCTATTCACTTTCTGCCATTAGAGTGGTATCATCTGCATATCTGAGGTTGTTGTTATTTCCCCTGGCAATCTTGATTCCAGCTTGTGATTCCTTCAGTCTGGCATTTCTCATTATGTATTCTGCATAGAAGTTAAATAAGCAGGGTGACAATATACAGCCCTGTCATACTCCTTTCCCAATTTGGAACAAGTCTGTTGTTCCA